AAAAAAAAAAAAAAAAAAAACTTATAACCTTATTATTTTTTAGACTTAACGTTGATCAAAAGAGGTAGAAAATAGATAATAACACTATTACTTTTAAGATTTGAACGGACAAGGCTGTTAAAATAACTTATTTAACTAGTACAACACCCGTGTATTACACGGGTGCTTGCTAATTTATTTTTCTTAAAATCTAAAATTAATGAGAAAAAGTAGTTTGAAAATTTAAATACCTTTTATAATAATATATATTATTATATATTTATTATGACACTTTTTATTTGTGCAACCTACTTGTGTTATATTATTTAATTTTTTTTAACTTACAATATATAACTACATTACATATAGATATATCAGTTGAGAAATAATTTTATTTTCCTAATGAATTTTGATAAATATTATTATTTTTTTTATTATAAAGATAAATATAATTTATTTATTTCATATATACAATATGGATGTCAAATCGAAGATCATCAAAAGATGATTAATTTGATATATTATATATGTAAAACCGATAAGAAATACAAAAGTTATCAACTTTTAAAATACATTTATAATTCAATAGCTTATTGAAGGAAACAAATCAAAATTCAGGGATATATTAGTCACTTAGTGCCTCACTATGTAAAATTACAAAGAATTAAAGGGTTATATTAGCAAAAGTGATATTAAAATACCTAAATTAGCTAAATAATATTTATAGAATACCCGAACCTAAATTATTAATTATTAATATATCAATATTATTTATCCAAACCTAATTACGAAGCATGATTCTTCGCCAAATAGGATTCCGAAGCACCAGAAGCAGCCACGTAAGCTCAGCGCATTCTGCAATTATATATAGGGAGGATATCTATGTTCCGTGCATCGCACGGGATACGTACTAGTTTTGTGTTAAGTTCTAATATGAGGTTCTAATTCATCCATCAGTTTCTATTTATATCCTAAACATTACGAGTGCAAATAAAGTGAAATACATAACGAAAACTATTATAAATGTAAAATGCTGGAAGCAAAAAGAGAATGTCTCAATTCAACTTTATAATCATACCAAAAAAAATTGACTGGACCAACAGAAATGCTGATGCATCCACCCAATATAAAAACTTTACATCATATTTCCTTCATAACCCTCATACATGAATAAAAAATAAAATTATTTTCCTTTGATAAAAATAATTTTGATAAACAAACTAGTACAAGATTGCTCAAAAACTTTGACATTTTTTTCCTTTGTCATCTACAGTATCTGTTCCGCCTTGATTTCACACACTCCCCGAACCAAGAAAACTGCCCGCCTTTATGTGCACGTCTCGGAGTGCTTCGATTAGCCTGTTTTCATATTTTGCCATCGAGCATCGTTCCAATAAATGTATTTGACACACGAATTCTTGATACTCAAAATGGAAGATAATGTATCGGCGTACCTTTCCCCTTCTGTGAGGCTTGCTGTTATTCCAGCATAACATCATACCACAACCCCTTCCTGATCCAGAATCATATACTCTGAGAAAACAAATAAAATAAATAACCAAAATAGTCAATATCAACCATCATATTTCAAATAATGTTGAAACTACAGAGCCAACAAAATTACATGTCATCTTTACTGGCATGCAGCACGCTTGGAGAAATCGGACAACCGCCGTTCCTCCTAACCTTCTGACCGGTCGTGTCACCATTAATATTTACTGCTTTGATTTCATGATTTAATCTGTCTTCACGATAATGCAATTTGACATCCACGGAACTCAAGGAGTCCAATTCGTTGAGATCATCCACGCCGTTTTGCCGCAAAACCTGTTGCTGTTCAGGTTTCGAGAAACTCCTCAATCTAAGGCTACTTCTGTCCATGGTCTGAAGCCATGCAGTTTCTAATCTTTGTTCATCGATTATTGACTCAATTCTCCCTGGAGGAATAATAATATCTGAATTGTTATCATTTGGGATACTTGTGCAAGCATTTGTAGAGATAGACTCTACGGGTTGCGTGTGATGATCCATAGAGGCATTAAAGCTCGTTCTTGATAACTGGGATGGACCTTCAAGTGAATTAAGATCCGGCTTACTGACTGATGCATCCAAATGTGTTGGCTTTTTTTGCAGGTTCATTGGGATGGATGGCTTCTGGCCTGGGAAATCTTCTTGTAGCAGAATTAGTTTAACCTCCACATTGGACCGCAGGACAATTTCGAATGAGTTTGTCAGGCTACTAAGGAAACCTTCTGCTCGGGTTTTAATGATAGCATCCTCAAATGCAATGAAGGCAACAAAACCACCTGCCCCTAAAATTTAAGGTTGAGAATTAGGGAAAAAAAAAGTGATGGGCAACTTTCACCAAACACATTCAAGCACACACACAAAAGAGAAAAATAATAATGTAAAGTAGTGAAGTATTACATGTTAATGATTAAAATGATTCTTGTTACCAAGATATCCAAAAGAATGAAGTGATAAATAGCAAGAGAGAAAATGGATTATGGTTCTAAATTTTGTGCATTTTTATTTTTATTTTTATTTTTATTTTTTTGGTGTAGCAGTATCAGTAGTACCTTTTGCTTCAGACAATGAGACAAGTTTCCCATACGAATGCAACAGATTCCTCAATGTCTTGGAATGGCACTTATGGATACATTTTAACCAAATATCACTCAACAACACCTCAGCCTCAGTACACATCAATCTTTTGCTTTCATCATGTAAGACAGTCAATGCCTCATCATCGGAAAATTGACTCCGATTGAGGTTCGAGTCAAAGCTGAATGCATTAGACAACGAGACTGGTTTTTTCTTGCTAGTCGAGCTGCAGAGTTCATTAGCTTCTCTATGAAGACTTACGTTGGGGTCCCTATCAGTTGTCCTGGAACTGTGTGGGCGACTGCACGTGGAGTGAGATTTTCGACTGGGGGAAGAAGGCAAGGAGCCTAATTGCAATAGGGTGGCCGTGAACCAGGTTGATCGATCGCAAGACATTCTAAGACGATTTTCTGCCTCCGAGAGTACAGTCAATGCATGTCTCAGCCTGCCTACTTCTCCTTCACTCACTGCAAAAGTCAACCGGCAGTCACTTGCAAAATGTGCAAAAAGTTAAGAAAGGATATGAAGCATTAGATAGTATGGTGCTTGACTTGACGAAAACATACATCATGCTCAACGTATTAAGGCTAGAAAGAGAGCCGAAATTTTTGGACTCAAGGCTTACTGCAAAAAATTTTGCTGTAATTATTCTCCTAGACTCAAATTAAGTACACACTCTCCTTTCTCAAAGGGAGCATAGAATTTTTTCAAACATGCACGGACGAGGATCTAACAATATTACAGATTTACTGCATGATCATAAGATTCATAATTCGATAAATGCTTGACAATATTAAAACTTCTCTCGTGTTTTCAGGACTCATACCGCACAGAAGCAGTTCAAAGAAAAAGAATGTGTACTTCACATGCACAAGCATTGAGCGAATTTCTAGTACACCGTAACCAACGAAAGTTGTCTATCTTCTGCATATAGATTAGAACATGAAAAGAAAGGGGCAAAAGAAAAAGGGCAGAAAAGAAAAACAAGAATCAAGGGAACTACAAAGTGACAATGAACAAAGTAAGAGTCCAACTTATCCCACCAATGTAAGAATTTTTGTTGCCCTTTGCATCGACACTTAGGTAGGTCCCAGCAATAAGATCCACAATAAGGGTCACCAACTGAGACACCAGAACTATCGGGTCCATGCCAGAATCCATCAATTCCCTTGCTCTTATTACAGTTTCAGTAGCATTTGATGACATGGCCAATTCCAAAAGCTCCAATAATTTGTCATCAGAAACAACCCCAATCTACACAAACAAAATGGGTGCGTGATAATTCAGCCAACAGAACAGATACATCAACTCTATCCAAATTCATGGAACTCGGGATAATTAGTCATGCATTGATAAGAACCTTCCTTCTGACATGTCAAGAACCTTCTTTTTTGACTGAAGACATGTTAACAACAGAATGTTTGAAAGGCAAAAGGACTGTTAACTACGTAGATTCAATTTAAGATATGGGAAAAAAGAAAAAAAAAAGAAAAAGAAAAGGAAAGGTTCACTTAACACTCACAAGCTCATTCACCAAGGATTTGGTGATTCTTTTCCCAAGCAAACCCAACTGGTCCAACGTGGTCTCTGCATCTCGTAAAGAACCATCTGCATTCGAAGCAATCAGCTCCAGCGCACTCATCTCAGCATCTAAGCTCTCCTCATCAGAAATCTTCATCAGTCGGGCAACAATATCTTCGTTGCTGATTTTGCTGAAAAAGTGTTTCTGACATCTGGCCAGTACAGCTGGTGGCACGCCGTCGACGTCGGTCGTTATTAGAATAAAAATAACATGTTGCAACAGCAGTTTCTCGAGAAGTCCAAGAAATGCCAGCCATGTTTGTTTAGGCAACAAATGACACTGGTCGACCACAAAAACCATGTAGTGTGATGTGGCCCGCGAATGATACATCACTGATATCTTTTCAAGAATATTTTTCACTTTCTCAATTCCTCTGTTATTCGACCCATCAATTTCTACAAGATAACTACTCTTGCCAGACACAAAATCTGCACACTCCCTGCACAGACCACAGGGTTTGTTAGTCTTTTCCAAAGAAAGACAATTTAAAGCTGCTGCCAAGATCCGTGCTGCCGAGGTCTTTCCAACTCCACGGGGCCCGTGGAAAACATAAAGGTGAGGAACCTTTCCACGCAAAACAGCACTCATAAGAGCCTTAACAACTATGCTCTGCCCAATTAATTCATCAAAAAACATAGGCCTGTGTTTGTAGCTCAGAGTAGTCAGGTTCTCAGGAGAACCTTCGTAATTCACTTCCCCGTTCAAAGCCTCCCTACTTCCACGGCTCAATGACCACCTTTTACTGTCCAACCGGCTCAAACCCTCCAAGTCAAGCTCCCCGTAATTTTCCAAAAGCTCGCAATCACTTAACATCCCGCTCCCCACAGACGACCCGGGCCCATCCCCACCTTTTTTAAGAAGGGGGACAAGGCCTTGACCGGCAGAAGCCTTTGACCTCCGACGTCTTCTTTGATACGAGGGCCGACTTCCACAAAGCATGCTTTTCCTAAGAGTATCAGAAATAGAAGGCGAGCAACAGCTCCCGGTTCTTGACCTTGGGGTCGACCTTCTCGACCTGTAACAAGGGATGCCGCATCCCGGTTGACCGGCTAAATCGAAACCGTCATCCACCTCATCATCCGCATCAGCATTAAACGATGAAGTTGTGGCGGCATCCCAAGACCCTGCAGTACTCGGATTTCTAGTGGAGTATCTGCTATATATGCCCGTAGATAATGCAGGCGTGGTGCTATATGAAATAGAATCATCCACTTTTCTATTCTTGAGACGAACAAGCAATGACGAAATTGTCGATGCTCTTTCTATGTCCTTTGAATTAATACAATCATCAGTATCGTTATGGACCAGGCTAAGCAAATCATCCCTCCCTACGCTCGATTCAGCTGAACCATTGGCTACGTTTTCCGTGTACCTACTCAACAGCATTTTCAGTTTTTCCTTGTGATGCCTGGAGCTGGCGCTAGAGCCAGCACTCCTTTCGGGCTTCTTCCTTATCATAGAAGGAGTCAAATCCCCATTCCTACATTTAAACACGCTATTGCTCAAACAGCCATCACTCCTCGAATCATGACCGGCACCGCCGCCATTTGACACGCTGGACGAGCTGTCAACGTATTCGGGACTCGCGTCTTCTCGGGCCGACGAATACCCCTCATCACCCTTAACTTTTCTCTCGAAACCCTTACCAATATCGGATTTCTTATCCCTCCAGTTGAGCAAAAAGGCCGTTTTCTCCTCCTTTTTCTGATGGAGCGTAGCAGATTTGCCGTTACTGTGGCTATCCTGGACGTGGAGGCGCAGCTGCTCGGCCATGGCGTCACCGTGAATCTGGCGGAGAGATCGGTATGAGGATGAGGTGCCGGGATCCTTGAGAACCCCTCTGGCCGCCTTGCGTATTTGAGTTAGCTCTTTCTTCAAATGCAGGTTGCTCGGATCAACACTGCCGCCGAGGCGGCGGTCTTCCGCCGACGTCATTGTATATCGGTCACTGCAGCACCGTCAACGATTGAAAAATACGAAACAGAAGAGAGAGAGAGAAGAAAATTGCAGAATATAACTTGAGATCTTACAGATTTCCATGGGTTTTGTTGTGAAAATCCAACAGCGTTGGCCGCTTGAACAGAAAAAGAAAGAAAATGATCAGTCAAAAAAGGGTTTTAGGCGCACTAATTCGTAATTATCACTTCTAAAAATAGGGTTTATTTTTATTTATCATAATTAAATAATTAGTTAAATAAATATTTATTAACTGTTCACTTCCGACGGCGACGCTCCAAAAACCGAAACTTTTTCAAATTCATGTAATGATTGTTATCATCATCTTTTCCAAATTCCAATTTCCGTTTCCCTCTTTTTTTCTTTCTTTTCATTTAATTAGTCTTTATTGAACGCCAAACAGATGACAAAATTGGACGCGAGTAATGTAATGATAAAAGGGAAATGCTAAGTCTTGTCACGAAACTATTTCGTCGAGATTTGTAACCTAAGATCATCATGTAACCGTTGATCTGCTGTTGCACACTGGACCGACTCTCCTTGAACCCAACCACTTGAGCCCTCCCAAAACCTACAAAGCAATTTCCGGCAGTAAACCTCCGACGCTCAAGTTAGTAGGGTATCCAGGAAAGTCTAGTTCGTATATTAGGGTTTTTGTGAGATAAAAACTTAACCCTCCCATCATACCTGCTTTACCTATTTATATGCAAGTACTTAGCTTCTTCTCCACGCTTGCTCCTTCATCCGTTGATGTGATAACTACTGGGCCCATTTAAGTGCTAGCCCACCTCCTCAACCTACCTGACCCATTCATCTGGCCAATTTTTTATTGGGCCGGGCCCGCACATTAACAGACTATTACATCTGGCCAACCAACAATCCTACAAACACACTTTCGGCTCATAACTCGAGTTGATTCCTGCCGGTCTACCCAAAGTGCTCTCTTGTGCTATATCAACCGTCGTGGATAGTTGATCTAACGAAACTATTCCGTCGGAATTTGTAACTGTTAGATCATCATGTAACCATCGTGGATAGTTGATCCAACGGTTACAAATTCCGATGAAATAGTCGATGGTTGATCTAACGGTTACAAATTCCGACGAAATAGTTTCATAACGGGACCATAGGATCTCCCAATGATAAATATAGTATCTTATTTCGAAACACTAAAATTAATGACTGAATGGTATTGTATGCTTTCTTTTAGGACGTGTTCGTTTATAAATAATTAGAGAAAAAAAAATATTTCAATACAAAATTTAACTCAAATTTAACTTAATCTTATTATCCTCAATATTATCAATATATTTAAATAATATCATTCAATTATTTTTACACGTTACATTAAATTATTCATCTCATTCACTCGCATAATTTTTAATTATCATTTTCAGTCATTTTAACTTCTATTTTTACATCAAATCAATTTTGACCAATTATTTTATATATTATTTTAATACGTTCTCTACATCTCACTAATAACTAATTATACTTAATTTTTTTTAATAAATTTTAGTTAACACAAAACCCCAATTTTGTTCTAGTTACTTTAAAAACAAGCACACTTTAATTGTGTAGTTTTTTTTTCTAGTTATTTTATAAACAAGCACACTTTAATTGTGTATAATATAACTAGTTATTATTATTATTATTTATTGTGTAGAGTTGGATCATGTTATGTGAAAAGTCAAACCCTTTTAGCAGCAAATCACATATATTGACTCGTGATATACGTTCAGTTGTTCACCACAAAAAATTGTGTACTTTTTATCCATGGCCAGGCTAGCAATAAGCCAAAAATTCCACAAGAAATTAAGATTAAATCGTCTGTCACACTAATCTTTTGAGCCTAATATGCGGCCAAGGCACGTAAAGTGAGTACTTCATTTATTTAAAAAAAAAAAATTAACTGGACAAAAAAAAAAAAAGAGTCGACCAAAATAAAACAGACGTATTCTCAGAATACATTTAAAAAAATTAAAATAAAAATAAAAAAACGTATTCCGAGAATACGTTTTATAATTATTTTTGTAAATTAAAAAAAAATCCTTATAATTCAAATATTAAAAAAATGTAAAATATATTTTTATAAAACGTATTTTGAAAAAACGTTTTAATAAAATAATAGGGAAATAATATTTAAATAAAACGTATTTTGAGAATATGTTTTACAATTAAATTGTCGGTAAACGTATTCTCATAATACGTTTTTTAAGTAAATATATAAAAAAAAAATAAAAAAAATCTCTTCTTCTCCACTTCATTTACGAATAGAGACTCCACCAAGCAAAAAAGAAAGAACAAAGCTGCAATCCTTCATTCGTGAAAAAAAAATCGATCTAACTTTCATCCCGGCGTGAAGCGACAACACCGACACGAGCCTCATTTCCGGTTAATTCATTCGCACGAGGTATATATTGGCTTATCCTTACTTTTTACATTATTTGAAGTTGTTTAGAGATTGGGAATTGGTATAATATGTTTGAATGTGGTGGTATTTGAAGATTGAAAATTGTTAATTGATTATCGATTATGTGTGTATGTAGAATTGAGGATTGAAATTTTGTGTGTAAATTGTCAATTGTGTATTGTTTGGTTGTTGTTGGGGTTAGGGTTTTTTGAAATTAGGTTTATCCGAATTATAGATGAATTTTATGTTATTGTTCGATTATGAGTATAAGGTTTTGGAGGATTATCTGATTGGGACTATTTTTTTTTTTTTCTTTTTTTG